TTACGATTGTGTAATAGAGCGCAAATTCTATTTCAAACAGCAAAGTTGGCAAAGGTAGATAAATATTTAATATTTGGTCAATAACTAGCGCATTTTAAATTTTTAAATAAGAGTTCCATAATTAATGATTTGGCACGTACTGGATCTGTGACATCGTCGCCAATAAAATCACAAGATCTCGTGTAACTTAAAAAAAATCGAAAAGCATTATGAAAACCAGAAAAATCGCAAATACAGAATAACTCAAGCAAGAAATTTCAGTCATTTGAAAATATTTTTAAATATCGGATATTAAGTAAATTAAAGCCTGCGATAATTATGATCTTTATGCCCCTTCGATTTGATACCTTCACAGATTCAGTACGTGCTTCAAGTGACGTATTTACGTTGAAATATGTGATACATAAATCTTATTTTTTTTTAACGTATAGACTTAGATATTTTATCAAAAAAAAACCACCTTTATTAACGTATGCGCCTATTTATAAGTAGGTAAAATAAATAAAGTTTTCTGATTTTAATTTTCCAATTATCATTTTTAATATTTGTAACCTTCCGTTTACAATTCATCTTCAGACTTTTCTATAGTTAATTAAAGTACATAGTACAGAATTTGTTTGTGTTATTTCTAAAAGTATTTAATAGATTTATCCCAATAAACATAAAGCTTCTGAAATTTTCAATCCAATTATTTGATTATATGGCTTTTACTATTTCTATTGATAATTTATATTATAGTATCGAAAGCTGGCTTCATTCTATTTCATATCATCAAATTAATTGATTTCCATAGTTTGTGATATAAGACTTTCGTTGATCAAAATGTTTCTACGATATTGAAACAATAGAAATCCTCAACATTAACATTAAACCTGACTTCTCTAAAATTTGAGAACAATAAATTTTCTAAAGAAATCAAAAAATCATTGATGAAAGTTCTTAGGACAAATAGATATTTAACCTCTTTAGATATTACTTTTGACATGTCTATTGCTGATGAAGTAGAAAGATTAGTAAAACCACTTTGCAGAAACGCCGTTTTGACTTCTTTGAATCTTAGTAAGAATCACCTTGGTTTTAAAGGAGGAAAAACAATAGCAAATATACTTCGTAGTAGTTGTACTTTGACATCTTTGAATCTTGCTCAGAATCAACTTGGTTTCAAAGGAATAAAAGAACTAGCAAATGCTCTTTATACAAATAATATCTTGACTTCCTTGGTTCTTTGTGGCAACGAACTTCGCAGTGAAAGTGCAAAAGTA